ATATTCAAAAATCAAAACCAGGTGGGTTGTAGCTGTCAGATGAAAGGTAAAATGGTAAGTTTTCTAGAAAATAGTGCAGGAATATCCACGGCAAAAAGCAACACAATCATGAAGGACAAAATTGATAAGTTGTACTACAGTTAAGATTGTCTTTGATCATCAGAGTTGTCGTTTGGAGACTGAGAAGACAAGGCACAGATAGGGAGTAGATATTTGCAATGAGTCTGTTTGACAAAGGACCTCACATGGGGAGAACTCTGACAAGTATAGAAAAAAAAAAAGACAACCTAATAAGTGAAAAATGGCTAAAAGACTTGAGGAAATATTTCATAACAGCAAGTATTTAGATGTGCAAAAGTGTAAGTAAAAGTGCCTCTCAGTAGGCGGCAGAGAAATGCAGATTGAAACTGCGGTGAGATACTACTAGTTACCTGCCCGAACAGCTATAATTAAAAAGACTAGTTATATCAAGTGTTGGTGAATATATAAAGCAAGTGAAACGTGCACACTGCTAATAAGAGTGTAAATTTATACCACCATTTTTTCTTCCAGTTTTGGCCGGGGCTGGGTTTGAACCCACCACCTCTGGCATATGGAGCCGATGCCCTACTCCTTTGAGCCACAGGGACCACCCAATTTATACAACCATTTTGCAAACTATTTGGCCTTATCTACTGTAGCTAAACGTTTACACATCTATGACCTGGTAATTCCACTCTTGGTGGTTATATTTACTATAAAGATGTGCAAGAATGTTTATCACAAAATTGTTTGTAATAGCCCCAAATTGGAGTCAACTCAAACATTCATTTAAATTAGTGGATAAATGGATAAATTGTGATATATTCATACAGTGGGTTATTGTAAGCAGTGAGATTTAATTAATTATTGCTACATGCTCAGCCTGGTGAATCTTACCAACTTATGTTGACTAAACTTTTATACAAAAGAAAACATACTCTTTATTCAGAATCAAAAAAGGTAGAACTAATCAATGGTGATAGAATGATGGTTACCTTTGGGAGGATGTGAAGGCAGCCTCTAGGACTCAGGGGTCCTCAAACTTTTTAAACAGGGAGACAGTTCATTGTCCCTCAGACCATTGGAGGGCCAGACTGCAGGCCCCAGGATGAGTTGGCTGCTAAGCAGGATAGGCAGCGGCAGCAAAAACACCTGGTGGGCTGGATAAATGTCCTAGGGGGGCCACATGTGGCCCATGGACTGTAGTTTGAAGATGCCTGCCTAGGTCATAAGTACTGTCTATTTTTAAATCTATGTTCTGATTACATGGGTTTGTTTACTTAGTAAAATTTTAGCAAACTATGTTTTCATGAAGGACAAAATTGATAAGTCGTACTACAATTGAGACTTATATCTTTGTATCTTATAGTCTATAAAAACATGGCATTTTCAAATCATAATTTCACTTATACAATCTAAGTGACTTCATTATATTTCAAGTTCTGGAACACAGTGTATACATTTTTCAGGTCTCTTTCTCCTAATGTTAATAATAAACAGGGTGTATGGTGGAGAATTATTAAGGTAGAGTAGTTTTTTGTTTTTCACTTTATTACTTAAAAAAAAATAACAGTAGGGTAATGGATTGCAGGCATGGGTTAAATATTTTAATTATTTTTCTTGTATCATACCTTAATATTAAAACTTTAAACTTATGACAGATATCTTATTATTATAGTATAATTACCTATAAATAGATCTATGCAAAAAAACAGGTGTGATGTTCAAATAACCGAAACTCAGTAACATATTTGACGTCGTAGCAGTCTCTAGGTGCTTTTTTGCTATTTTCTTATCTTTGTTATCCTATTAACATGTCCTATTAGGTGGTACTGATCATGTAAAAATGGGCTATCAATCATAGATGTTTTGGCATAATAATCGAGTTAAAGACTTGAAAGCTTTGTTGATTGGTTTAATGTAACCACGTTAGATTGTATAAAAAAAATTTAGCACATTGTGCCCCAGATATGCATGAATGTATTCATGATCTATGTGTATTTGATTAATAAATTAAAAAAACAAGAAAAAAAATAAAATGGGCTATTGAGCAGTTCCAAATTAAATGCAGAATAAAAATCTGAAAAGAGAAAAGGATGGTATATCTTACATTTGGTGTACATTGGGAAAAAGACACAATTTCAAGGTCTGGTTCCATTGTTCGGTAGCCCTGTTGACATTTTGGTGGTGTTTTTGTTGAAGATTTGTGATACCCTTCTGTGTTGTTTTCTTGTATGTAATATGCGGACAATAAGACTATATGTAAACAGTGCAGCTCAAATCCTGGCACACAGTAACTACTTAATGTGTGCCCTATAGATTTAATAATAATAGAATTCTTCATCTTGAAACAATAAAACAAAATTAAGCAATGTGAAACAAGCAACCAAACTCTTTTTTTTTTTTTTTTGTGGTTATGGAACACTTCGTGTTTTTATGCCCTACATTTATAATTACAATATACTTATAAAAATAGAGAGGTCATATGAATTATCTACTTTTCATATGATGATAGAATCAATTACATTTGTACTGGACTCTTACGTCTTCTCTGCTCAATCAAATTGGCATTTAAAATATTATTTCTGGGCAACACCTATGGCTCAAAGGAGTAGGGCGCTGGCCCTGTATTCTAGAGGTGGCAGGTTCAAACCTGGCCCCAGCCAGAAACTGCAAAAAAAAAAAAAAAAGAGTATTATTTCTTATAATAAAAAAGATTATTATTTCTTATAAGATGTATTATTTCATTTATTTTAAAAATGAATTTGCCATTTGCCCCCTTTTTTTTTTTTTTTTGCAGTTTTTGCCTGGGGCTGGGTTTGAACCCACCACCTCCAGCATATGGGGCCGGCACCCTACCCTTTTGAGCCACAGGTGCTGCCCTGCCATTTGACCTTTTTGTTAGTGTTATTATAGTGCAGTGCTTAATGTTATTTCCTAAAGATAATAAAA